CATCAGTATCCAGGAGCCTAAGTGTATTATGTAACAAAACAGCTAGACCTTAAAGCATTGCAAAAGGTGCAGTTCTATGAAAATAGAAAGGAAGGAGCTTTCTTTCTTACCCCTCTGTATATAACCATGCTTAAGGGAACAATAGAAAACACAAATGTCAATTCAACGGTTATCTGTTTGATAATGATGGCACTTCAAGGAGTGAAAAAAAAATCAAATCAATATAATATAAAAATCAATACATTAACTAGTTAACAGAGCTTCTCAGAAGTTATTTCAAACTGAAAACAAGAGGACTGGGATGTGGAGTTTGGCTGTGTACACAGCAAGACTCATGAGGTGTTCGGAGCTAAAGCTTTCGCATCAGATATGAGCCAAATGGTTGATATAGAACATCACTTGCAATCAGTTCTATATACTAGACATATCCTGAAATCATTGCTAAATTACTAAAATTTGGAGGCCTTTACACGGGGAATTAAAAAACAGTTTTAAACAAGCATGTGCTTCACAATATATAATTCCTACAGTCAGTTTTAGATGTGCAGTTACAAATTCAGAATTTGCACAGCTTGCATAGTACTTGCTGGTTTTGCAAAGATTCCCGGTGACAAACTCACTCAGTTATAAAGCAAATGCCAAAGAAAAGTGCATGCACTCAGAAGAGATGTTTAAATTCAAGCAAACTGTTAGAAACCCAAATGTTCACTGTATTTCAATATCATTTTTTAGTAAGAAGTATTTGAGTAGAATTGTTAATTCCATATGCATTATTGCTTAATAATAGTTTAACCAGCTTGTAAACCAAGGGATGGGCTTTTAAAGCAGGGGAGTAGCATCAGATCAAAAGCAACAAAATAGTTCTTCACTCACAGTACAAAATATGATGTGACATCCACAATTATGCTGCACAAAGCAGCAAAACTGCTGAGAAGACTGCAGTGTTGCCAAGACATTTCTGGATCTGATACCTTTTTACTTGGTGTTGTATTTTTCTTGTGTTTTGCAAATTTTTTTGTTGATTTTTGTTTTTGCAAATTGCTCATCAGCAAAGAGCAGTATTTCAGTATATTATGAAGCAGCACGATAAGATTTTATAAATGAAAAAATGTTGACAACCACTTTACTATTAGGAAAAATATGCAATCCATTTATCTTAAGGGGGTCAGTATTAAAGCACTTTTGCATAATTTAGTGAAAGAAAAAAGGCTGAGGAAAGCACTGCAACACTTGAAAAATCTTTTATCTAGTAATTCAAAAGAAGCAAGTCCTGTTCCCTGTCAATTATCTTTGCTTTTTTCATTGTTTTGACATTACTGGTTTATGTTCTGTTTTTCTTCATTATCAAGTCCTATCAGCATTATCATTTTCTACAAGCTTTTTTAGTACCCTTAGCACTACGACCAAACTTCATTTGTCCTCTGTACATGCTCTTTGCCCTAATGATGAAAATCATCTCCAAATACAAGTGAACTTTTCTTCTCTTATAGGAATCCAGCTTCTACATTAACTATGCCAATGCAATGTTTACATCACATTTTCTGCCCAGAAGAAACTATGTCCTCTATCAATATAAACAATAAAAATTCAGTCCTCCAAATATTTTCCAGCTATCTCTCCACTACCCAAATGGACTCCCAACTCTATCTCCAACATGTAATTTGCTCTACTGAGCCAATCAAACCATTTGCAGAAGCCTACAGCTTAGTCACCTTGTCACTACTGTCTGAAAATACAAGTATTTCCCACACAAACCCATAGGTTATTTGTCACTCTAACAAGTTTAGCTCTGTTAGTACACTCTCTTTTGTAGACTGCATACTTCACCAACCTTAGTTCCCCCGCGCACACAGGAAAATTAATCCCATTACTCTAATAACTCAGAAAAGAGGTTTTTGACCTCAGCTCCACTGAGAGATCTTGGCTGTAAAGGGGACAAACGGCTGCACAATGGGTGACAATGCCCCTGACAGTACCCTGGAAGACAACAAAAAAAGACTTGCACTAACTCTTCATTGTAGGATCCCTGGTGCATACTCTAATCCACAACATAACAATGTGTCAAGAAGGTGAGTAATGAGTGCCAGTCTGAACTGCCCGACAAAGACAGAGCCACCAGAGTTCAGGGAAATTCATAAAAAGATGGGATCGATAGACATCAGATTGCTGTTTTCAGAGAAATTCATGTATTTCTCTGACTCTTGCAAAAACTGAGCTTGCAATAAAACAAGCTGCAAGTCTGTAAATGGGGAAAATTTGGCAATTTTCTCCATATAATAAATACTGAGGCCTGCAAAGCCAACATATCTTCAGTTGAATGCCCAGTATTGCACATGGTTGTTACCTCTCCACCCTTTATAATTATGCCTTCAAAAATCAGATAGAATGGGTGACTATTGATTACAGGACAAAGATGTCAATACAGTTATACTAGGACTGCTATCTAGTGGACAAGATTTTTCTGGTTGAATTTTTTTTTTTTTTTAATTGCCATTACTATCTTATTATTGAGGTGATTTTAAATGTATTATTACAATATCATCCTTAAGATGATCTTCCAATTTTTCAGTTTGCACATAAAAATGAAAAAATATATATATTATTAGTATGATTTTAAGGAAAAATTAGTTTTATCAATGAAAGGAAACTTTCAAAACTGATACGGTGGAATTCTAGAATGGTTGAGGTTGGCAGAGACCTCTGGATCCATGTGGTCCAATTCCTGCTCAAGTAGAAACATCAAGAGACAAGTGCCCATGCAGCTTTTTAAGATCTCCAAGGAGACTGCATAGCCTCTCGACTAGTCTGTGCTTCTGCTGTTACCCTCATGGTAAAGTGTTGCCTGATGTTCAGATAAAGCCTCCTTTGTTCCAGACTGTGCCCATTTCCTCTTGTCCTGTCATTGGGCACCATTTAAATAAACCTGGCCCCATCCTCCCTTTAGTTATTTATACACATTAATAAGATCCCTGAGTCTCCTCCAGGCTGAACATCTTACTGCAAATAATGCCAGTGATTTTGCCTGCAGGAATGATGCTGATGCATCTTTCCTTTTCCAGTTAGTATAACAGAAACTACCAACCTGAATCTGCATTCCAAAATTAATTAGGGTAGCTACTAAAAGTGCTTTAATGCTGTTTTTAGTGTATCTTGACAATAAAAGGAACATTCAGAATTTTCTATCACTCATTCTCACATTTATCTCCAAAATGTAATTTCAGAAATGTACATGGAACTGCCACAAAAAAAAGTAACATACCACAGAACAGAGATACCCAGTACTACCTAAATAAGAAGTATGTGTCAAAGAATTAATTGCACTACAGCGCAAAATATGGCAGAAATATGTAGTGTTTATCACAAAGAAAGTGTTCCAGTTCAACAGCAATTAGGCCAGTCAAGAGAATTCTGTCTGTAGATAATCAGAAAGATTAACAGTATAACAGTACCTGTGCAAGGGCATCTGCATAATTTGGAAGTATGAAAAAACAAATTTGACTGGTTTCCTCAGATGATTATGTTCCATATAAATGCGACAATGGAAAAGTCTTCCAATAACTACTTTAGCCTACATTCGCCAAATTGCTTACTGTCAAGATATTTCCAGATTTATATTAATTCAAAATGATTCCTGTCAGTATAAAATCTTGAAACCACTTTCTGCACTCTACTAAAATAGATGAAATATGACTTTCAGTGATTTTGAGGCTGCCAGTTCTTTCAAAGCTGTTATTCTCCAAAAAGGAAAGGTTGAGTACTTTTAGTTTTGTTTTACAATCTCAATAAACAAAATATATTAGGCTAGACATTTTCCACAATGTAAGTGGATTACAAACATGCATGAGCTTGCTTCTTCTTAATTAGCTTCTCCTTTCATACCTGACTTCATTAGTATAAAATTAGCACTAAAAAAAAAAAAAAAAAAAAAAAAAAGATTTGAATTACTGCTAGGACACGTATTCATGCAATTAGGAATCCTCTTTTTGGGACTGAAGATTTATTAAATAATAGAACTGAACTAAATGCCAAATGATGATAATTAAGTAATGACACACTTTTCCTATTCAGCTTGGGGAATTATGAAACAGGAGATCTGGCAAAAAGAAAGGACTCTGTTTCAACACAGGTATGGTATTTTTTAGGAAGATTTTGTTTGCAATTTTTCACAACCTCACATAACGGAGGAATTTTCTATTTTTTCTATTACTTATGTCAAATTAAAGTTGCTCAGCAAGGCATCACCGAGGCAGGAATTATCTCAGTTTTAAAGCTCATTTTAAAAAACTAATCATTTTTTAGTTCTATAAACAGAAGACAGAGTAACAACAACAAAATAATAACATTAACATAAAATAAATAATAGCGTCAACTGCAACCTTTTTCCCTTTCTGAAGAATAGGTACTTCAGAAGTGATGCAAGAAGCCAAAAAAAAAAAAAAATCCTATCTCAACTCAAGTTAAGTTAAACTAAAAGCTGTTATGCTTAGTTCTACCAACAGTGGGAGGAATATCATTGCAAAAAAAGAGAACTGATTGAAATGAAATGAAGTCAATATACATGATGTGACAGGAGTCAAGAAAATTATCCCCACATTCTTGGACTAAAGCAATTTTGTTGTTGTTGTTGTTAAAGAAAAGAGGCAGTATGAAGTGGGGACTACAAAACATCATTTCACTAAAATGATGATTTTCAAATGCTTCCAAAAATAACCTATTATGCACATAATCTTGCCAGATAAGCTCTGCTATCTTTGTAGAGTATGTTTTGCCAAGTTTAAAGGCACTGGTGTAAGTAAAATAATCAAATTCTGTATAATTAAGGTTAACAGCAGCCAGCTATAAACGCAATGATCATTACTGTTGTCTACTTCTATTGGTCAGTAGACGCTATTTTTCATCATTAAACGGAAAACAAAGCAGATTTTCCCTTACTCCCAGCTCCACCTCTATGTACAGGCTTATTAAAAACACAGCACAAAACCACAGGATTATGACCTTACCTCAATTTTTTCCCATATGGTTTCATAATTCTCTTGATGTTGTATATCTTGCATGAGTTGACGAATTAAAGCTGATTTATTTGAGGCAGAGGTTTCATTCTCAGTGCACTGAGTGGCAGCTGTCCTTTCCAACTTTCCTTCAGTATATTTTTTAATGCCAGACACAGGCATAGAAAGATCTTCATCAGAGAGAATATCACTGAGAGGCCCAGATTCAATACTGTCACCCAAGGAAGATACTATATCACTTGAAGAGCTTGGTGAAATTCTACCCATTTTTTTGTGTTTTTTTACCTGGTATGTAGGATACATTTCCGAATCTGAGTTCATTTCTGACAACTCCCAGTCATCAATATTTTGAATAGCTTCTCTTCTGGGCCTTTGAGGCAGCAGCTTTGTCAAATTTTCTAGTTTTAAAGCTAATACTTCAGTCTGTTTGAGATGTGAAGGAAGTGCTAAATATTCATCAGAACCATACCAGACCTCACCATCTTTACTGTTTGTATGAGTATAACTTGGTGATGAGGATAAACTTTTATTTTTCTTTCTTCTTGGTAAAAGAGGTGATGAGTTGATATGTTCAGAACTAGCTGAGGAAGCACTCTTTTGGCTACATGGTGAACTAAAAGGCTCAGTTTTACCTTGTGATTGTCCATTTAGGTCTCCCTGATTGCAAGCATCTGATGATGCAGAAATAGAATCAGTTTCTGCACCCTCTAGACATTGAGAGTTATGAGAAGTAATTCCATTTTGTAGAGAACGTCCTCTTTTTTTTACTTCTATTGGTGGAGCTGTTTTACACATACGTACAGATGTTCTGCCAGCTTTCACTTTCTCTGGAGTGTCATGAGACTTCTTGTGCTTTGATTTTTCTTTGCAGGTATAGTAAGCAGGTTTTCCTAGACTCACAGGACTGTTCTTAAAGTGATTATTTATTGTGTATTCAAGATTACTATCGCCTATTTTATTTAAGCAATCATAAGACTGGCTAACAGCAGATGGACTACTATAGGTTGACTGTAAAGCCAGGCAAAGTTTGGACCTGTCTGGTGGATCTAACAGTGAGGGTGTACTTCTACTCATTTCATTCTTTACTATCTGAGAGATTGGCCTTTTAAAGTCATTGGTTTCCATGTAGTCTTTAAATACGTCATCTTTCAGAAACAGACCTCTTTTTGGCAAAGTAGGCTGTGTGGGGGAATCTTCATTATAGTTAAAGCAGTCTCTTATGGATCTCTTAGGATTTGAGTTTTCACAGTGAGGGTGTTTGATTTTTTCATCACTGAGTTGTGAAAGATTGTATTCTGGTTTCTTTTGTGCAGAAACTGTTTTGTTCTCAGTTGATGAGATGCCATTTTCAGAGCAAGGTCCTTTAGAAACAGGAGAATTAGCAGGAGATTGTGAAAGCTCATGTAGTCCTTTCCTGTCCTTGCTTTCATCTCCATCTTCTGATGCAAGAGGTAAATGTTTTTTCTCATTTAATGCTTCATTACACTGAGGAGCAACAGAATCTGTTGCTACTGCAAGTAAACCCACACTTCTGATAAGTCCTGGAAAGTCCTTATCCATCTCACTGTAGTTCCAGGATTCAAATGATTTTGTTTTACCTTGGCTGGAGGTCATATCGTCTAGAGCACCAAGCAAATCTTCACTTGGACTGTAGTCAGATAGTTCAAATGCAGTAATACCACAATCCAATGACAAGTAATTTTGAGAACATTTGATCGTTAGCTGTCCAGAATCATCAACTTCAGTTAAAGAGTCAAGTCGATCCTGAAATAGATGAAGAAATGGTGCCTTTTAGAAGTTCAATTTCATGTTACACACCAGATAATTAAATATCAGCTTAATGCTTCACTGCCTAAGATCTAGTAAAGCACTAATCACTGAACAAGCAAGAAACTGAAAAGTTGATCTAAGAAAAATAAAACAAAACTTTAGGTCAAGTGGTTACAACCACTATTTAAAAACATCACAAAAGACAGAAATTCATGTTTTAGGTTCTAATTCTAGGTGGATAAATCTGTATGCTGGTCTTTTTTCCCTGGTTTGGTCTACATGTCTATATAATAGATATTTTTAAGGCAAAGTTTTACCTAGAGAAGGTGCAGTTACCCCCACAATCTCACAATAAGCTGCTTGGATTATGGTCTGAACCAGAAGAGCCTCAATAAAGAAGGCTATAGTTTGCAATCTTCTATAAACATGTTTGAGCTCTGTACTTACACCCACCAAACTTATGTTAGTCAAAGTAACATACAAAAAATTCCTCTTACTAAAAATGTTATTTGTGGAAAAGATAGATTAGAAAAATATTCAACTGAAATCCTGGACTTTGAAAATATTTTTTATTTAGGATATTATATCCAGATGTAGAACCTATGCCACAAACTGTGCATCATCAATAATCTGGAATTAAAAAGGGAAGTTTCTATAAAACTGTTGAATTTCCATTTTGGAGTTGCATTTATTAAGGAAAATAATGATTAAACAAGGATTAGTAGTACAGCTGCATTTTTCCTCTAATCTCTGGAAAATATTAGAAGCTGTAAGGCCATATATAAATCAAACCCCTTCCCAAAGGCAAAAGAGGCCTTCATTTCTCCTGAGTAATGAGCTCCATTTGTCTCTTTAAAAAAGTGTTTATGAATCTTAATAAAATTTACAATCACGTTCATTAGACCATTTTGCTTGGTCATTTCCCAGGCAGCCATTTAAACGTGTGCTTCAGATGAGCATTATTTAATGCCAGTATTATAATAGTTTTATTATTGTTTTTATTTCAGGAAAATATTAATACAGCTACCAAGATGAATAACTTACTTCAAAAAATTCATTTCCACATAGTAATATTTCCTGTAAATCTCTGTAGGCTGTATTTCCAAAACCTTCTTGTATTTATATTTGATCCAGTACAATTCTGCATTTTTTTTTACTCTTTCAAATAAGTTAAATTAATTAGCAAGGTTTTTTTACTGTGATTTTTCCAACTGTTTGAGAACATTCAAATTCACTGTATATTATGATGGACTTGCACTGGCCCTTTTCATACATCCTATTTTTATCAATTGTGAAATACAACTCACAGATTAGCTTCAGCTAAGAAGAACTCAGACTGGACTGAACTGATTTTTCTTTCCTTCTTAGCTATCCCTGGGTAGTTCCTAAAGGGGAAAATGTCTTTCAAAATATTAATTTTCCAAAGTTCTTATTTAAAAAAATATTTTCTCAATTTGGCATCTCCATCATAGCAGCTTGCCCCATTGATTTTTATTCTATTTCCATTATTTCTCAAAGCGTGAACTCCCATGTATCTCTTCTGGCTGGCACCAAGATAGCCAAAAGTACAGTTACTGTCTTCCCAGCTAATTAGTTGTGTTCCTAAGCAAGTCAATACAGACTGTGCTGTATGCTTTCCAAAATGCTATAAATAGAGCCCAGTAGGACTGTTCCCTGCCCAGAAAATTGTCTGAACACTATGAGAGTTACAGAAGCAGTGATGCAATTTACCAAGATGGAATTGTCTCGTAGAGCACAAAAGAAAACTTGGTACACCAGTTCCATGGAGTTCCTCAGTTAACACTGGCAGCCTGAGCCACTCTCACATTTACAAAGAAGATGGCTGACTTAAGGATCAAGCCAAACATTTGGTGAAATGACAGGTTCATGCACTACAGAAAACATTTGATCTGCTGGCTCAGATTAAGTTTCCATCTAGACTAGTATATTGTGCCTGCAATCACTTCTAAATACTTTCTGCCACTTTCTGCCAGCTAAGCTACAGGATGTGGGTATATGTACATATATATGCTCTTGAACCTTTAACACAAAATATAAAAAAATAAACTTTATAAACAATAAAAAATAAACTTTAATTCCTTGTTCATATTCCTCAAGAACTGAATTAAGAAAATGTTTCTGTAAGGAAGGGTTATCTGCTCATTTAAAGTTTTTTTTGGTTTTCCCAAGCAGTTTCACTATCCACATACGCCCGAAAACCCTGAAAGATACACTCCTTACACTGTGAGTCATTTTGTAGTCACACAACATAGACCTGTCTGGGAAAGGATCCAGGGTTGTAGGTGAGACCAGACACCATTTTCTCTATGTTACCTTTTATTATCTTTTATTTATTTTCTTCAGTCAAATAAAGGCACTAACATTATATTTGATGTAAAGTTTGAATAGATAGAATAAAAAGATTAAAATCTACAGAGCAATTTCTGGGAATTTATTCAAGCATTAGAACAGAAACTTAACATTGATATTTTTTCCTGCTATTGCCAACCATTAATTTTACCAAATGCTGTTTATGCTTTACCTGGGAGAAATTAAAAAATCACGATAGGATATACTGCTTTTTATTATTATTATTATTTATTATTATTATCAAGCAAGCCAATCTGGAAAAAAAAAAAAAGAAAGAAAGAAAGAAAGAAACTAATCCATCCCTCTCCAGTCAGTCCTCCCTTTTTTGGAAGGACATTTTTAATAGGAGTTGTAATAAGAGCCACGTGGGAAATTTTCTGTTTCTTAGTTTCTGAATCAGCTCTTTTCTTAGGTCTTGAAATCACCACACTCGAGCCAAAAAATAAAGATTTCACCCTAAGTCACCACTCTGGAGTTTCAGACAAGCATCGGTTTCTTTCATACTTGCCAGAGAAGATTTACCATCAACAGCAAAGGAGAAACTAAATCTGAAGCATCAGATGCACATATATCAGGAAGAGGGGGTGTGGAAGGTGGGCCTGGACATGTCTGAATATTGATTTCAGGGCCACCCACTTTGTTGTAGCAAAGACATAAAAACTCGAAAGGGAGCAGAAAGGTATGCACATTCTCTTTAAACTTCAGAGATCTGAAATTAAGGACATCTTTACAGGGCTTTTGACTTCCTCTGTAATATAGGTCGCAGAATCCAGACAGTGATGCCCCCCCAGTGGTCAGTATTGAGTACAGTCTTGTGCATCTCAATTGTCGGTTACCTGGATAAAGGGACAGAGTGCACCCTCAGCAAGTTTGCTGCTCATATGAAAATAGGGTTTGCTGATATTTTTCAGAATGCTGTGCTGACTTTCAGATAAATCTGAGCAGCTGGAGAGTTGGGTGAAGAAGAATCTCATGAAGTTCGACAAAGGCAAGTTCAGGGTCCTGCACCAGTACAGCTTTGGGGCTGACCTACTGGAAAGTATCTCTGTAGAAAAGGACCTATGGGTCCAGCTGGACACCAAGTCGATCATGAGCCATCAGTGTGCCCTTGTGGCCAAGAAGGCCAGTGATATCCTGGGCTGCATTAGAAGAGCATCACCAGCAGGCTGAGAGCACAGAGCACTGGAACAGACTGCCCTCAGATGCTGTGGAGTCTCCTTCTTTGCAGATATTCAAAATCTGCCTGGAGTTGATCTCATGCAATTTACTCTAAGTAACCTTGTTTGAGCAGCGGGGGGTTGTGGCAAGGAGGGAGTCAGCCTCCTCTCCGACATTATTAGCAAAAGGACTGGAGGGAACAACCTCAAGTTGCGCCAGGGGAGATTTAGGTTGAACATTAGGAAATACTTCTTCTCTGAAAGAGTGGTCAAACACTGGAACGGATTGATGGAGCAATAAATGTCTGTATACTGAGCTTTTGTCAACCTAGCAATTTAACATGTGCAACAGATACAAGCTTCTTCAAATACAGATAAAATTATCAAAAATGCTTAATTTAGTTACTATACCTCCTTTGTCTCTTCAGAAAATGCTTGCAGAATATCGGTCTGTCTGGTGTAGTTTCCATTGGCGTCTTGTAGCCCCTGGAGAATGCGCTCTCTCAGAACCAGAACAGAAACACGGAGCTGGTGCCAGAGTAGTTGTACTGTATGGATATCGACTATCACATTGACAGAGTATGAGAGAAGCTTCAGCGAAAACTCAGTCTCTAGTAGAGCATGAATTTGTTCAACATGATCGGATATATCTTCACAAATATCCTGTAATGGAAAAATAAAGTAGGTATTAAGCTACAGTCAAAGTCCATCCATGGATCAGATCTACTTGTCAACTACATTTTATTAATTGCAGATTAGCTTATTTCAGAGAGGAAAGATAACGTAATGAATACATCTAGGGTGCTCTATTTATTTATTTATTTATGGCAACGCTACAGCAACTGAACCAGCAGCTGTCTTGTTTGGCAGGAATGCTCAGTAAGCCCAGCGTACAGTAAGGAAAGATGGCATAACAAGATTACATGAATCAGAAGCAGAAAACTAACACTGTAAACTGACATCCTAGAAGACAGAAATAGGAACGAAAGTTATAATATTGCCACAATGAATGTCTCTCTTTATCCTTTTATTTTTTTTCCCCTCCAGTTAAAATGCAGACTATACGATCTGTCCCATCATCAAGAAAATTCTTTTGGACAGTATTTCCCTTTAAACCAAGCCTTGATAGCCAAGTAGGGCAAAAGTCTGGAATGACTTCAATGTGGATAAGCTATTTCTGAGATCCATTGCTGACTGCTGCAATGAGAAGTCGCTAATTTTTGCATAGTCTTGTTCTGAAACCAAATCAAACAGAAGATGAGTGGAAGAGAAGCTGCAAACAGTTGTGTTGAGAAAGCAGTAAAGAAAATGTAAGTTACCAAGTTATAAAATAAAGACTCTGATGGAACTGTATCCTCCAAATTTAACAGTGTTCCAGATTTCTGAACTATATTGCAAACAGAGTAAGGTCTTTATGATCGGCGTCTGATTTTCTTTGTGAAAGGAAAAAATTATCTAGCACAAGACTTTAAGGAATACTTAGACAAAAACTACTGAGTGAATAATGCTGCTTTAAAACAATTCAGCTTGAAAGCTGTGTCTAAAAAAACATGTTATAAACAAGTAAAGAAATGCAATTAAAATACTAAAAAAATAGCACCACAAGCCAGTAAGTGGCAGTATAAAAATACATAACACTAATAAAAATGAGAATAAGCAACATAATTTTGATTCATTTCAAATTTGCTTTCTATCAAAACAATCCCATCAAACAATTATAATAAAAGCTTGTGTTTCTGACAGTACTTGTGGTTTTTCACAGCAGTAGAATAACAAGATATTCAATAAAGCTGATTCCTTCTAAATTAGCAATGCAGCACAGTACTTTTTATCTGTTTTCACAACTTTAGTCTGAAAGTAAAGCCAAATTATTGAATGTGTATCTGTATGTACATTACAAATTAAACCTAAGTTAAATCTCAAGATAATATTAAGAAATACATTTAGTACAAGAGATGGAATATTAGCCTTAAATAAACTGCTTTGGTTGAGTACTAGAAGCAGTAACATGTTTTTATAAAGTCCTGACAGCTAAATCAAGTCTCTTTGCAGGAGTAGCTCCCAGAAATGCCAGAGGTGAGCACAAAAACATCGGAGTTTCAATGAGCAGAGTTTAGGTCTGCCTTCAGAAAAAGGCAATCTCCTAGCATGTATACTTTCAAACAGAAAACACATGGCCTCACCTGGCAATGCTCAGGGCTGCATGTGTTCAGAGCTTCAAATGTTCACACACTTCCAGAAAAGTTAACTGGCTCAAGTGTTACCAGATTACTGCACTAAACCCATTCTCTGGGCATAAAGGCACAGCTAAACCACAATAAACCACAGCTAAACCACAATAGAAATTTTACTGGAAAATATAGCTGTATTACTATGTTGTTGCAAATATTTTGAAAAATATTTTAAGCAAATCAGACAATTTGCATTCACTTCTCTAGTGCTGTTCATGTCTCCTTCCTTCCGGCCATAAAGTAGTTTAATTTCCATTCTCAGTAACAGTACACTGTACAGTAATGTAACTTTATATATTAGACACAATCCGTACAAAAATATTTTGTACCAGCTGGATGAGCTTAATTATGTGCCAAAGTGCAAAATAAGTTTTCACTATTTTCTAGATTCTCAAGCACATACTCACCTGCTGAATTAAACTGCCAAGAAGATTCTCAAAAGAGAGCTTTGACAAGGAGAAATTGTCAATATATGAAAACACTGAGTAATGAATCTAGATATTACAGCATATCAGCAGAGTACAGAACCTCAATTAAGTTTTCTCTGGAGTTACTGTTACTCTATCTCCCAAAGCATCTAAAGTTTCTGACGTAGACAAACTTACCACAGCAACACAGCAAAGTTTCTCCTAAAATGCAAATCACAGCACCACTGAAGGTTTGAAAGTAGTCCATATTCAAGGACATATTCTATTAACTTTTACAAGGCTTGTTATAAATTGCACATTTTCCTCAACAATTAAAGCTCTGAAGCACTTTAGAGTTAAGGGCATTACAGCAGCCAAATGCTTCATGCACCAACAAGATAATTAACCATTCATGACAGGTCCAGCAACATGGAGAGGCCTTAAGGCCAACCTATGCAACATACAAGTAAAGGTCACATAAACATAAATAACTTATAAATGACTTTTAACTTTACTGATTAATATGTTGACATCAGGCATTTTCTACAGCTGTATTTTTGTGGCTTTTTTTTTTTCTCTTGACTTTGCTAAATTCATTTTTATTGGTTTTGTTTGTTTGTTTGTTTTTTCCACCTCTTATTAGATGAAAATCTGATTGAAAAGGTAAGGAAGTTTGATTCAATTTACAGTTGGGCCAGGCATAGATTTAAAGGAACTTAAGTCTGCTATTAATAGATCCAAATATTCAGTGTCCAGAAGTCCTGGACAAAAGACTACAATGCATGCACAATATGTCCAGGTTGCACTGACCTTTTTTCATATTTGCTGTGTGGTCCTCTTGCACACACCATCCAAGTCTGAAGGGTAGCAAGAGCAGTTTGATTTACTGGAAGCTTACAGGCAGGTAGCATCAATGCAACAGGCTTACTGAACACACACAAACCCCGTGTGACAGCTCATGGTTTGATCGTCAGCCTCTGATGTGCCAGATCTTGAACACATGGTTCATGGCCATACACCAGTCTACTGGCTATTTCTGGACAAGAACCATGAGAGCCATAATATCATCTCCCTGCATCACACAGCACTTATGCCTTTTCATTTTCACTTGATTTTGTGGCTGTTTTCACATGAGCTGCATTTCATTTCACCAGAGGGTTGGTTCCTTGATAAAATGGATAAGAACTGAGTTTAGAGAGACTACATCTTATATTAAATTTGGAAAAAGAAATTAGATCCCTGTTGGTATCTGCTTTCCTTGTTTTGTAACTGTCATATGATGATGGAAGGCAAAGGCTCAGCAATGGAAGAGAAATAGCTGCCTAAGACTAATGCCAGCACTTCAGCAAGGAAAAATGATGGCTTTTGTCATACACATTACAGCTACTTAGTCCTTTGCAGTAGAGTGTCAGTAAGACTGCAACCTCTTTACTTATCTTTTCTTTATGCTTGCCTGGTACAAAATAACCTCTTGCAATACAATCTTGAATCCAGATATATTATCTAGTATAACATTTTCTTACTACTGTATATGATATTTAGATTTATAGATAATTCAGCAAAATGAAATCATTACCTCTACCACAGCTACAAATTCAATATTTTTTTAATAATTAATGCAATTCAAATACATCACGGAAACAGCACCAGAGATCCGATGTTAAGGGCAGAAATAAGTTATTCACTTTCAAGAGAATTCAAAGTCAATTGTCTTTCCTGCTAAAACTGCTGGACTCAAGATATTTCCAGTTTATTCATGTCCTGTCTTCAACTGTGGCACTTTTGAACAGTGGGGGTACTCATGGTAAAAAAAATAAAAAATTAAAAATTAAAAAAAATTGAGCAGTGACCCACTGCAACTTACAAAAACTGTGGAGGTGAGACAGTGCTTTAAAGCCATCACAATTGAGAAAAGGAAACAAGAAGTTAGAAGACAACAGTAAAAGTGACCACAAATCTGGACTTACTGACAGTTCTTTGTCTCAAGCAACCGGTATAAAACTATTAGACCATACTATTCATTTTTTGTCTCAAGACATTTTTTTAGATGTTTTTAGTACAGTTTTGCAGTGATGATACCCTGCCACCATTTTTTGCATGGCAAAATATTCTTCAGCTTTTTACACAGCTTACACCCAAGTCAGCTGCACAAGTCTGCATCTGAAGATGGTGGTGTTCTCATTCTACCACAACCCTCACAGTACACAAGTGATAGCATTTTTCTTATAAATCCCTGATCTTTCTAAGGCTGTTAAAAGAGCCTGTTAAAACGTGGCCTCTTTGTCATCATTCTTCCTAACTCCTTGTATGTGACTTAGTATTTGACTTAGTATTAGGTAGAGCCAAAAAAAAAAAAAAAAAAAAAAAAAAGTAGAACATTGTTATGTGTCGTTACTACAGTTTGTATTTATAACCAAAGAAACAGCAATATCATTAGAGAGTATCCAAATGCTGCAATGAGTGCAAGGTATTAATACCATAAGTAGTAAGAAGATAAAATAACTCATATTACTATAAGAAGTAAAAAAAAAAAAACAGTGTTTATCTGCTGGCATTTATCTTAGGTCAAATTCAATAATATACAAACTACAAATGAAAGTATAGAAATTCTTATCCATTTTATATCGTATAATTTAACATCAAGAGCTGTTAGAGCCTGAATTTTACAGAATATCATTTCCAAAGCATCTTTTTTGCAATCATTTATCTCAAACCATTCACTGCACACTTTTATTGTTAAATTAGTTCCTACTTGTGTTAAGGTAAAAGTTCTGTTATCCTTCATGAAATATCCTGTACATGGGCTGTGGAATTCCTTAGGCCAGAGGGGCTGTATCCACTTGGCTACCAACTGCCCACTTCACTCAGTCTCTCAGGCAGCTGATCCTGTAATTCACAGCTGCCAAATCCATCAGCCAGCTCATAACCCTTCGCATCAACTAAAATAGCCTGAACTGCAAACATTGCAGTAGACAAAGAAAAAGTGCATAAACAAACCCTCCAGAGCCTATGAAACCTAAGCTTTGATGCTAACTGTAAAAATATATATGCTTTTATCTGCTCCTGGAGAAATTCTGCTACAATGTATGTGGAACTACTGAAAGATGAAAGGTTGCAATACGTTACTTCAGAGTTAATATCAGTAACAGAGAAGCTGTACACCAGATTCCTCTTCTTTGATCTCACAGTAAAACCTCAATATGAAAAACAGGTTGCCATTAGTCTTACAACTACTGTACATGCAAAACAAAAACTATGTTTTAGGAAAACATCTATCCATTTGGTCTTTCCTTTTAAGTGTATTCTAATTGCTCAAAAGACAAAGTTGTGATTGATTGCCATCTTTTAGGAAAAAAAAAATGTGACTCTGTCAATCATTTTTGAAACATACTTGCAAATTATGAATTAAACTCACTCTGCATGCCCTTACATGCTTACATAAAGAAAACAAAGGGATTTTTATTAATAAACAAATAAAGATTTATAGCTTTCAGTACAATGTTTTGCCTTTAAAATGTGCTTTGACTTCACAAAGAGTAGTTTTTCACCTCTACTTGCCTCTATCTCCAAGCAGTGTTATAATAAGGATAAATTTATTTTCTTCTAATTTGGTTTAGTGAAACTTTAACAGTAAACACTACTTGGTCTGGATGCAGATGTTTTTAAGTATATTCTTTAATCAAAGAAAATAGCCATGCATAAAAAACCCAGTTTGACCAAGCAAAATCAACTGCCTTGGAAAGCTCTAGACTTACTACAAGTTCTAAGTCAGTAAAGAGTTGAATTGCTGAAGTATTGTAACTAGTGTCATTGTGGCATCCAAGGACTAGGGGAAATGAAAGCAATTTACTGCTGCAAAGCACAGCAGCAGAACAGCTAACAGGAGGTTCCAAGGTCACTGACCCTAGCTTTTGCTTACAGCAGCAACTTAGGAACACACTGGTTCTCAAAGTACATTTCTCCACTCACAGCTTTCATACTACTGAGCTTAACTTTCTTGGTTTGCCAGTCTTTTCTGAACATCGTTCTCTTTCTTGTTTGTCTGTTATTTCAGCTTAATATCTTTATTGTGAGACTTCAAAATTTCATCAAGTAGTCTGCATTTTACCTTTTTCTAAAACTCTCAGAAACTTGTTGGAATATGGCAAAATTATTAATTTGACTGGTGTGTTTTCCCTGTACAATATCTTGATTTCTTTTTTTCCCTTACAGTACACTGTTTTTAAACAGAGTTCAACATAAATTATCAAGTCTTACTAGAGTCTAGCTGCATGATACTCAAGTACATGATACTAAAAAAAAATTTCAAAATAATTGTCCAGTCCAATGATCAGGCCATTAGGCATGTCCTTACTGCAATCTGTCATCACAGGATTCAGTGACTAACATTCTTATATCCCTGTACTTCAGAATAATGTGAAATAGATGTCAAATCCTTGATTCTTTGACAGAGCTGTTGTAGTAATGGTTTGTCTGGGAATGTGAAAGATATGGAGCTGCTCTGTAATAACTTACTAGTAGCATGTATGATATATTTTATTTGGACATTCAGTTTGCAAGGAAAAAGGCCAGAAGAAAGGAAGAAACGATGTCACTCACTAAGCATTTCAGGCTCCTTATGTAATGTCACCTGAAAAGCTAATCGCAAAGCTCCAGTCTTAGGATACCAGCAGCTTGCATTTGTGCTGCCACGTGAGCCACTGCTGGGGCCAAAGGATAAAGCATACTGTAAAGAAGGAAAAGGATTCTATTGTCCAGAGGAAGCACAGTTGCTGCTGAAAGATATTCCAGCCAACTTCCAGGACCAGCTGCAGTGGCATAAAAGCCTAGGCTAGCCTCTACCTTTACTGCTAAAAAGGGTGGCTTCAGAGAAGATAAACTGCTTTTAAATGTTTATTTCACTTGTTAAGCTTTGGTTTTAAAAGACTTTCTGGTCACAGCATTCACCACAGTCCAGATTCTTAAACAGAATGGATTATCCAGTCCACCCAGCAAACTTCAGATAGCTGATGTCCAAAACATTTATGGCAATAAGGCCTGGGTGTAACGGAACTGGAGAACAAGAAGAGAAGTTTGCAACTGTAAAATGAAAACTACTGAAAGAGTGACACATAAATAAATCTGAGCAAGCCACTTCTGGGATATTCTTGCCATTTTTAAAATGGAACAAGACAATTTCTAGAATTCTCCAGGCCTTCTGCAGGGCCGTAAAATATTTGTTTTTTGAGCTCTATTTACTGATAAAAATCTCCTTCTATTGTTCGTATAAAACAATCTGATGCCATTCTTTTAAAATATTTCCAGTTTAGAGCTAGGAGATACTAAACTTAATTGGTACCTTTACTGGAGTTAAACTCCTAAGAGAAATTCTTATTTTAGACAAAAGAGAAACATTTCTTGGTGAAAGACAGAAGAATTAAATTCCAAATATCAAAGTGTAACTACACATAAACAGCACCAATAAACAACTGAGATATATGACACATCAAAATAAATAAAAGGATCTGCAAGTTCACACAGGACAAAGAAAATCCATCCTTCTGTACAGACATGCAGAGCACAAGGGAAAAATGTTAATCAAAACATTTTGACTTGCTACAGTCAAAGGATGCTAACCTCATTTATTCTCTGATTAAGGCGTGGTGGCTACAGCAGAATTTGATAAAAGATGGTGAGAATCGTGTGCCTCACAGGGACAAAATAGAGGGGGACCTCATTTAGTTTACACAGGCCCACCTTTTGAGTTTATCAAGGTCCATCTGGATGGTGTCCCTTATTTCTGCTGTATCAAAAGTATCGCTCAGGTGGGTGTCATCAGTAAACTTGTTGAGGGTGCACTTGATCCATCATCTATGTCATTAATAAAGATGTTAAAGAGTTAACCACACCCAAGATAAATCCCTGGGGAAATCACTTGTTACTGGCCTCCACCTGGACATAGAGCCATCGACCACAACTGGCTGTGACATTCCAACCAATTCCTTATCCACCAAATAGTCTGCCCTTTAAATCTGTATCTCCTTAATTTAGAGATAAGGATGGGGGACCATGCCTAAGGTCTTGCAAAAATCCAAGACAAAGCTATTAATTGCCTTCCCTTTCTCCATCAGTGCTGTTACTGTATCATAGAAGGCCATCAGATTGGTCAGGCATGACTTTCTTTTGGTGAAGCCACACTAGCTGTCTTGGATCATCCACTTGTCCCTCACGTGCCTTAACATGTCTTCTAGGAGGAACTGTTCTTCCAGGCACAGAGGTGAGGCTCATCCACGTAGGTCGCTGAGTCCTCTTTCCTCCCTTTATTGTAAATGGAAGTGATGTTTTCCCTTTTCCAGTCCCCAGGGACTTTTTGTGTGACAGCCATGACTTTTCAAATATGATGGAGAGCAGCTCAGCAACCACATCAACCAGCTGCCTTATGGCTCTGGGATGCACGTTATCTGGCCCCATGGACTTGTACAGTCCATTCAGTCTCATGAATAGGTCTCAGATTTCCTCCTCCCTTACAGCGGGGTGCAGTTTGCTCCCCCAGTTTCCACCTAGAGATACAGGTTCAGGGATGTGAGAATCCTGGTTGCCAGTGAAGACTGAGACAAAGAACAGGTGTTTTTAAAAAGGAATATAGTGGAGACTAAACTGGAAACTTGGAGTTGCAGAATCATTACATATATTTATATGCGGACCTTCCAAATCTGCTTTAACCAACTTTAGGGAAGTATTGAAACATTTGAGACTTTGCGTATAAAAATAATTAAAATACACTGTCTAGTAGTTTGTCCTGTCTGATTCAGTTGATTTCCAAATGTCACTTCCATCCCATAAGTGGATCTTTCTTAGATTCCAATTTAAAGAAATGTGTATGGTATCTTCTTTTCAAATAAAATAATCCATAATGACCTTGATTTTTTTTGTTAGATCTTAATAGTGGAATACTGTCTAAACATCAAATGATCAAAACTAATTTTATACCCTATCTGCAGTACCTTAACCACAAATATTTCTAACATAATTGAAAACAAACAAACAAACCTGTTGTATTTAATAGACACAAGGAAGAATGTACTTCCAAATAAATCAGTCCTAAGAAACCTAAAATTCAGTATCATTAAAATAGATGTTTGTTTGGACTGTTCGTAAGATTCAGAGTACTAGTGGCTAATATTTTAATACTATTTAAGAAGTAAGCACTTTAAAACTGGAAAAAATATTATTGCCAGAAGTATTTAGAATGCACTGTAACTGTAATTTAGAAATGCGATACAAGACTGTAGAGTCTGTGCTAAACTGGTACATAGACTATTCTAATCCAGTAATTATGAAAGTCAGCTTGTGCTTCCAGCAGGATAATTTTCTTAAAAGCACCAATTTCAGCTTTATAAGAGAACTTTCCATTGTAAAGCACCAGGCCTAATGGTTGTTAAGCTGTTGATGCTGCTTAAGAAAAAAACTCTTGTGCTTAACAGAGTAGGACTGAAGTGCCTTGAAAGGAGAAGTGAATGAGCAATATTTATTTAAATACTTATTCATTTATACATACACACAAACAAGCACATAAATAGGCAAATATTTTTATTACATATTGCTATCCAGGATAACATCCTTGATTCATAAACCGCTTCACAGTCAGTGTCATTCACATCTTTGAGCACGCAAGTCAGCATGACCTGTGGTTGTGGCTGAGACAAACTATTATGCTGACAAAGAACAGTTTTATCGACCATTCATTTCTTTGTGTGTCATTCCATTTTGTTTTCTAGCTATACAAAGATAAGTTATAAATTGTCTTTGTCTAGACTGTAGCTTTCAGTGATGAGCATAACTCCTACCTCCATGAAGGAGCAATGAGAAAAAGAAAGCCTGTCGACCAGTCAGCCTGTAACTAGCTCTTTGAATTTCAAAAGCTGAACTAGTCTGTGTGGAAGTTAATGAACTTACATTTTTTCAAGCTTCAAATGCAAATTTAT